ACCTCGAGTCATGCTGGTGATCTTGGAGTGAGAGCACGGCTCTCAAATGCTGCACTGCTACGCGTCGCCACCGACTGACCGAGCACCTCAAGTCATGCTGGTGATCTTGGAGTGAGAGCGCGGCTCTCAAGGCTGCACTGCTACGCGTCACCACCGACCGACAGGGCACCTCAAACCATTCTGGTGATCCTGGAGTGAGAGCGCGGCTCTCAAGGCTGCACTGCTACGCGTCACCTCCGACAGACCGAGCACCAGAAGTCATTCTGGTGTTCTTGGAGTGAGAGCGTGGCTCTCAACGCTGCACTGCTATGCGTCACCACCGTAGACCTCCTCGTGTTTCGTGTAGCTACTGTGGTACGTGGTACTACATTCTTGGAGCTACGGTGGTAAGTGTAGCTGGTGTTGGATGTCTTCAGCGCGCCTTCCGTCAGGACCAATTTGATGCACATTTTGTTCATTGCCTCGAGTAAAATTATTTATCAATGCAGAATGATTATGATCCATGCATTTGAATTCCTATTCGCTAATGACCTTGTGAATTGCAGGCAAAGAGAACTCGTGAGAGGACCCCTACCCCTGGAGAATACTGTGGTCCGAGAGGTATGCATGGAGACTCCCGCGGTTGCATTTGAAATAGATGCTTTGCTTCCTGTTATTGATATTTTTTCTTGTCTGGATTATTATAGCATGAGTTTCTTGTACTTGCCTTTGTTTTGATTAGATTCCTAGGCAGCATTTGGAGTAGCTTATTATCCCACGGTTGACTTTAGCCAACACGATGGGCTGTGTATTGTTAATTCTCCAGTGGTGTCATGTTAGATTAATTCACAGCATTGTTGTTCCTCATGGTTCACTGGAACACTTTTTTCCTGTCACCAGACCAGAGGTTTTATAGTATGAACATTGTATGGCTGTCTTGTTTTACACGGACTGGAGATTAGTTAGTCTCCTGGGAAGGACGGGATGCCAAGATTGCGGTGTGTAGCAATCTGGTTAGATGATTTGTACTGCGGTTGTCTGATCTGTCTTGTAGCATGATTTTTTTAATTTTTTTACTTGCTGTGGCTTTGCTCAGATTCCTATAGTTTAGAGAAGCTTATTATTGTATGATTAACTGGAGATTAGTTTACTGTAGTATCGTTGCTCTTGGTTCACTAGAGCACTTTACCAGTTGTCACAGGTTTTAGTATGAAGAATGTGTCTAGCAATCAGATAAGAAGATATGTTATTGAATTTTTGTATTCTGTACTTGCATGTGGTCTGATAAGATAGATGCTTTCCGTCCCGTCCTGTTGGTGATATATATTTTGTGTAGGTTGCTGATCTCTTCTTGTACTTGACATGGCTTTGCTCAGACAGATTCCTTGCTAGCATCTATCTGGTTTAGTTTACCTGTGGCCACTAGCTAGCATGATTGGTCGTGCCGTGGATCTTTTTTTTATAATGTCCACTTGCATCATTCATTCTAGATCCATTCATCACCCTTGTTTCACTGGAGCACTGCGCCAATCATCTTTAGTAAGTATGAACGGACGTTGATGCATATATAATATTTTAATTTGCGGCTGTCTTACCGTGTTTTATGTACATACATATACATACACTCTACATTAGCCTGCAGCAGGATATTACTCTTAGGGGAGGGCAGTTTTTGGTTACATGCATCTAATCCGTCCGGATTTGTGTGCATGCATGCAGGCGGGCGCTCCCGAGTGGAACCGCGGAGGAGCCGTTCTCCACGCCGTTCCAGCAGGTCGTCAAGGGACCGCTCGAGGTCGCCCTCCACAAGGAGGGATAGAGACAAGGACAGGAAGCGCGACTGAATGAAACAAGAAGAAAATGATGATGCTAAAGTATGAATTGTGTCTTGGATTGTAGTATGGTTGCTGAATGAATGAATGTTTGATGAAGGACTGTAGTATTTCTGCTGGAGGCTTTAGATAAAGCTCATCTGTCTGTCTGTCTGTTTTATCAATCAGAGGATTTCCCTAACATTTCTTTTTAGCTTCTGTGTCATCTATATGCGGTGAAGGCGTATTTATTTCGTGTTTTTATGGATTCTCGCTATCGAAACGTCTATTTGGTTGTATGAGCTACTTGTATTGGCTGGATGCTAACAATATTATTATTATGTCTGCCCACAAATTTGAATTTGTGTCGACCGTTGCTTAAGCCGTTTTGTTAGTAAAGAGTATCTTAGTCCTCTAAAATACTCCTCGTGTCTCATAATATAAAAACGTACGTTTTCGATGCTACTTTGACACTAGTGTAGTGTTAGAAATACTTTTTCTTATATTATGAGATAGAGGGAGCATAGTACTATATACACCCGATGTAAAGATCGTAAAAAGAAATATAAGAGCGTTTAAACCACTACTTTAGTAATTTAAGCGCTTTTATATTTTCACTTTACTTTAGGAGGGAGTATAAAACATCTTTTTGATCACTAACGTAGGTAAAGAAAAAAAAACCCTTTTGGAAGCCATGTTTGTATCACATCCACGGGCTAGACCACTTATGGAACTAGTTTCAGGGTTGGGGATTCAACAACTTTTTTATTTTGACAGAAAGACTTTCATAACTAGCTAGCTTTATTAAATTCAAATACTAACACTTATGTCATTCGCTGCTTAAAATGTATAGATGAAATCGATCAACCGCAAATAGAAGAAGGAACGCCCTTGACAAGCTAGCACATTAGCTACCATATTAGACTTTCAGTCACCAACGTTCGTTCAACGGGAGGAAGCTTCTCCAACACCCCTCCTCCTCCCCCCAAGGGCGACCCCCGTCTCTCCTTTCATTGACTTTTCTCCCTCATCGCTTATCCTGGCAGCCGCGCCTTGGACAATAAATGTTTTGACAAAGCGACACGCCATCTCCGCCTTGCACCTGGACGCGAAAACGGCACGCTCCGCACCGCGTCACTGACACGCGGTCCCCGACCCTACTTGTCGGTGGCGGGGGGCGGGCGGCGAGTGGGGCTGCGTGCGTTTTCGGGAGGAGGGAGGGACGGCGTGCCGTTTCGTCGAAAGCCCTAGAAACACGCGATAAATTGAAGGGCGCGGATCGAGAAAGCCAGTTTGTGCCTCCATTTTCCAGTTCATCCAGTTCAAAGAAAAGAAAAGAAAAAAAATGGAATCTTTGGTTCAAAAACAGAATCCTTTGCATCCATCCATGTCTTCCATCCATCTTTTCCCCTCCTCGTATTCAATTGAATGCGCCACCGATCCCACCGCCGCCGCCGCCGCCGCCGCCGCCTCCCCCATCCCGTCGGGGCCGGCGGATTCGGTCTGCCCTAGCCCTAGCGCCGCCGCCGCCTCCCCCATCCCGTTGGGGCCGCCGGACTCGGCCTGCGCTAGCCCTAGCGCCGCCGCCTCCCCCATCCCGTCGGGGCCGCCGGATTCGGCCTGCCCTAGCCCTACCGCCGCCGCCGGCATGGACGACTTCGTGCTCCGGTCCGGCGTGCGCGTGGGGCTGAAGCGCGAG